AAAAAAAATTCTCTGCTGTCAAAAAGGGTAATTGATTGCCTGTTATTATTATATAACACATTATCATGCAAGACCATGAATTATCACCAAAAAATCCTTTGCTGCAAATTTGATCTTATTTCTCGAACTCCAGGTTTTCTCCGTCGATTCGGCTTCAATGGTACGCCAAACCTATCGGGCCCAGCTCTGCCCATACCTGATCATGTATGGGATATTTATGAAAGAGCTAAAAAAGATGACAGTATGGATTGGATACGACATTACTATCCAAAGGTTCGTTTAAGGACGTACATAGCTCTGAGAAAAAGACGCGAAAATACTTTGAGCTCTACTGACCTGACATTCAAATAGAAAATATTGCTCTAGGAGCTGCTGGAGCTGAACTCCGGATTGCTGGTCTCGTACAATCTCTCCGCATCAGTACGGAATGCCGCCCACGAAGAAGTGACACGAGCGGATATGAAGATCCGAGTGCATTCAGCAAAGCGGCATTCATCTCTAGTAAACGTCTATGAAGTCGATGAAAAGCATCCAGAAGTCAGTCGTGCGAGATGGATGTTAAGGGATGAAAAAATCGATTATCGATTTCAGATACGGAGGTTGGTCGACTCTAAGCCGGTAGATGTTTCTAATGCAACACAACAAAGTCAATGGCTTGATTTCGATGTCCAATCTGCTTTCGACTCGCCACGTAGCGACCATGATACGGTAAGGATACGGTAGCGATAAAAGCATTCCTGTATGTTTGGAAGGCACTCAAGTGTATTTGATTTCAAAAGAACGTATTTCACCCTTCGTCTGCGAAGTCAATATTGGAAATTAATTTTAAAAAATTCTCGAGATATAAAAATCCAGCATGTAGATCATATTTCTCAGAGCAGACCTAGGAAAAGTTTTTGACTACAGTCAAGTATGGCCACGTTGCGAAAGAAGAACGAGTTTGTAATTCCTCTCAACCTCGGCCGAACTTATTGCCGTCACAGTAACCACTTTTTGGAGGTTAATCAGTAAAAACAAATGATTTCAGTGGAGAAGGTATTATAGCAATTAATAATTGCTCTGAAATCGAGCAGTGCAATAAGCGCACGGCCGCGACGCAGTCGCTACCTAGCAGCTATGTCGTGCATCAGGAGAGTAGGGACCTCGGGTCCCGAGCAAGGATGAAATTCATTTAATGTAAAACGCTTAAATTCGTAACAGGGGCGATGATAGCTTTCCTTCCCCAAAATTATATCGGTGAGAAGGTGGAAAGCAGACACCCTATTGGCATTAACTATCACGTTTAACGTCTCCTCACCCTATCCTATCAGTTTAAGGTTGTCTTCTTCATTGAACATCCAGACGTCGACCTCTATACATCCGAACCTCATTCCATGTCGGCAGTTCCTTTCACAAGGCATCAAAGCTTTCCTCTCATTGTTTACAGGTATGTTTACAGATTTCACATTTTCTCAGATTTATAGCCGTTTCTACAGAGAGCTCAGTGCTGCCATTTGGCCTTCTTGACCATAAAAACATAAAACTGAACCAAAACTTTCTGGGAGTATGAAAAAGGGAGTAACTCGGGGTTTTCGTGGTTACCGTTGCTTGGGAGCGGTGTTACTTGCTTTGATAATCAAAGAACGAAATTACAAATCGTTTGTTTATCGTCTGTGTGAGATTAATAGTGGTTTCCTCTGTTTGCAGCGCCCTGAAGGAGCCGTCGCGAGTACGGCGAAAACGTGGCGCTGCGACGCCGCGTCGCGAACGAAAAAGGCAGCGTAAGCAGCATCATCGGAACGCGACCGACAGCGGCATTTGCCAGAAAAAGGCCCTCTACGTGGATTTCGAGGAAATCGGTTGGCAGGAGTGGATTTTGGCACCAAGTGAGCCAAACGTTTGATTTGATTTTGATTTATTACTTGCCCCTATAGAGCATGTGAAAGAAAAACAAAAATAAACGAATG